ATTCCGGTGTAATTAGACTGGTTTTCGAATGCTCCCGTCCAGACAGGGTCATGTTCAGGCATGACTTTGCATGTTTCAGCAAGACGATGCTAAAGTGTAGACCTCATCACATGGCACGTCTTAGTAGAGGAGTTTGAACTGGTCTGCCTGCTGTCCAGACCTCACACTGACTGACAATACTTGGAGCATCATAAAACAAAATTCAGCAGAGCCTCGAGTGTTGATCAGCTAGAATCCTCCATCTGACAACGATGGGACATTTCCCTTCAAAAAACAGTGGCTGGTCTCGGTTTCTAAACTTATAGATTTTTTTTTTGTAAAGGAAGAGGAGATGCTTTACAGTGGTAAACTACTGCTGCTGTAAAATCCAAAATAACCATAAAATCGGTATAATTTCTTAATTTAAAGATGTTTATTAATGCTTGATTGCAAATAAGATAAGGGTTTATGAGAGGCATAAATCATTCCATCCTGTTTTTGTTTACATAAAGTGCAACTTGCCAACATTTTCAGATTTGGGGTTGTGTAACATTTGTTTGGGGTGACCAAATATAATGGGAATTAAACCGTAAACCTTCATGTTGCAGTTTTTAAATAAAACTTGTGCTTGCCTGATTGTTGATGACTGTTTTTATTTTTTATGGCCATCCTGTCACAGCGTTCTCAGCGGTGTCTTCGATCTTTACTCTTCCAACTCCACAGGTTCAGGTTTTTTCACTTTTCTTTTCTTTAGATCCAAACACTAATTTAAATTAACACTCGTGTCTTTAATAAAGATGTTTCTTTGTTGTTGCTGAAAAGAGTTCTTTGTCGTTTTTAGGTGCCGACTGCTGAGTCAGACCTGCTTCTGTTCACCCCCGACCTCAAGGACAGGATTCGTGAATCCGTCTGTCCCAGTGAGCTCATGGTCTTCACCCCACCTTCCATCATGTAGTCAAAACTATTTCAATGTTGTCTGTGTTTGGTTTTCACTTACGGTAAATACTTTTGAAATTTCAGTATTTTTTTTATTTTAGAGTTAAAAAAAAAAAGGCTTTTTGAATAGTTGAATAAAGTTGACTCCTTTTAAGCACGAAGTCCAGTTGTCATCCTTTTATCATGAATCAGCAAAACACTTCTTGCTTTGGATAAAGAATTGATGGATTTTAATTTAGTTTAAATGGCGCAAAAGTTTCCTTGAGCTTGATATTAAAAAGTTTTGGTTCTGCGGTGTGCTCGTCTTCCTCATTTCTCTTGTCACGAACTGATGATGATCGACTGCCGGGAAGAAACTTTGGTCAAAAAACTGCCGAGTCATCAGGATCCTGCGCTCCACTCGGCTTTGCACCACATCCTGTCCTTCAGTTTGATGCTCGCTGTGATCTGAAAGAAAAATGCAACATGTTGGCTTTTAAATGTGAGAAAACAAATTTGGATACATTTTTATTGCAATTCTGGTGATTTAACTCTACGTTCATTTTAACAAGTCACTGTTTATGTTGGACATAATTACAAACAATGCACAAGTGCAAAAATACACTTCCTGGCGTTTCAATTTACCATATTTTTCGGACTATAAGGCACACTTAAAATCCTTTCTCAAAAATTGACATTGAGCCTTATGAATTAATTCTGGTTGTGCTTACTGACCTCGAACTGATTTTATATGGTACACGGCACTCAAAAATCTGTCAAAATGAAGTTGTTTCGCTTAACGCGCCTTATAATCCGGTGCGCCTTATAATCCAGTGCGCCTCATGTATGAAAACAGACCCGTTATTTGATATTGTGCCTTATAGTCCGAAAGATGGTATTTAAGCCTCTACAGTACATACAGCATGACTGAAACCACCAACACCTGTGAAGTGAGGCATTTCTTGACTTTTGACTTCTTGTCCACTTTTCACGTCCTGATCATGTCCTGTCTGAAATAAGATTTGAGTTTAGCAAAGATCTACAATATTGGATATGAAAAAAATCTTAATCTCTTCAGGAAATAATAGTTAAAATGTTCCATTTGGCTGTAAAATAAGTGAAACCACATTGATATGTTTCTTATTTTATCTTTTATTGTAATATTGGACTAGTCCGATACCTTCTTTAGATTTTCTAGTTAACAGAAATGCATATTTGAAGAACAAAACATTTTCTGGTGAGGATCTGACCTGTTGGTGAGAGCTTTCTTTCTCATCAGCCTCCATGAGGGTCCCTCTGATCCGATCATCAGATCTGAGCGGGACTTGGTCCCCCGGAGCGTCACAGACCTGCTGACCTTTTACTTCTGCACAGACCAGAAGAGCCTCGAAAAACTCCAGGAATGTGATCTGCAACAGAAGATCATCTCTGGGTATTTAGAGAAGAAAGGATCGCACGATGAAACAGATCAGGTCTGCAAGCTGTAGCTGGGGCCACATGCAGCTTGTTCTGCAGCAGCCATATTTAAATCATCATTTATAACCTGGACAGGAAAACTGAAAACATTCTGATAGCATCATTAGGTGCAACAGCTTGCCTTTAATAATAATAAAAAAAACTGATTAAAATCTAAATAAAAAATTATTAGACATGCCAACTTTTTTGTCTCCATTTGGACTACACGTTATTTTTGTATTTTTTCAGAAATATGACACACAGTCTGTTTACAGAATTTAGTTTTTTCCTTTGTAAGAGTTTAGACTTTTTCTTTGTTCTAACAAAAAATGCAGATGCTGTCAACGGTTTAGTGCTGATCTTTGACTTCATAATGTCACAAACTACAGTTTGTGTGTAAATAAAAGTGATAAAATATACTGAGTCGTGTTATCTTAATTTCAAGCTTCACGTATGTTTTTACGGCTCGGAGCAAATTATTTGGACAGGGAGCAGGAATTTTAACGTGTAGCTGTGTCGTCATTCTTCAGCGAGCAGTGATGAACAGTAACTTGAGTGGTTTGCACGGCAGAGACGAACCTCCAGTTCCAGAAAGGATGAGTGGTTGTTGGAGTCCCAGCCCTCAGCGGTGATGATCTCCATTACAGTCGCTGTTGTCAGCTGGTGATCGAACAGACGCAGATCCTGTGCAGAATGACACTGTTGATGCTAAAACATATACCTGCTGCTGTAGCTCCAACATACACTGAACAAAGATGGATCAGTTCAGTAATGAGGGACAACAACAAATCAGAACTTGCATTTCCTGTGAATATGCAGCGTGAATGCTTATTGCTGAAGAACTTGCTGAAAAACATGAAATTAGCTAAAGTAAAAACATGTTGAGTTTTAGCTAAAATGGAAGAACAAGCCTAAGTTAGCAGGCAAAACCAGAAAGAACAGGATTAAATCAGCAGAAATGAGCCCAGAAATTAGGACATTAATTACAAAAGCTTAAATTAGCAACAAAAAAATACTGAAAGTAGCTGAAAAAGCAGAAAGAAGCTTAAACTACCAAAAGGAAGTGGAAAGAGCTGAAATGAGCAAAAGAAAATGTGGAATTAGCCAAAAAAAGCTAAATTAAGCACAAACAGCTAAAAAGTAGCTGAAATAGCAGAAAAAAGCTGAAAGGAAGCTGAAATTAGCAGAAAGAATTAATTAGGCTGAAAGTAGAAGAAATTATTATGAAAAACTTTAATTAATCTGAAAAAAAGCTAATCCATCCATTATCTTCCATTTGGTCTGAAGTCCGGTCGCAGGGGCAGCATCTTGAACAGGGAGGCCCAGACATCCCTTTCCTCCTCTTCCAGCTCTTCTGGGGGGACCCCAAGGTGTTCCCAGGCCAACCGAGAGACATAGTCAACGTGTCCTGGGTCTTCCCCGGAGTCTCCTCCCAGTCGGACATGTCCGAAGCTCCTCCCTAGGGAGGCGCCCAGGTAGTATCCTTACCACCTCAACTGGCTCCTCTTGATGTGGAGGAGCAATGGTTCTACTCTGAGTCTCTCCCGGGTACCTGAACTTCTCATCCTGTCTCTAAGGGAGAGTCCAGCTACCCTGCAGAGGAAACTCATTTCAACCACCTGGATCTGAGAGCTTATTCTTTCGGTGCTAAACAGCTAAAATTAGCTAAAATATGCTCAAGTAGCTGAAAATGTAGAGCTTAAATTAGCAAAAGAAATAACATTTGCTGAAAGATGTAGAAATTAACATGAAAAGTAGAAATTGTCTGAAAAAAGCCGAAATTAGTTAAAAAAAACCAGCTGATAAAAGCAGAAAACAAGCTTAAATTACCCGAAGGAAGTGGAGAGAGCATATTTTTGCTGAATTAGGCTGAGAAAAGTTGAAATGAGTACAAAAAATGTGGAATTAGCTAAAAAAAAAAAAAAAAAAAAGCTTAAATTGGTATTAAAACAGATAAATAGTAGCTGAAATAGCAGAAAAAGCTGAAACTTTCAGAAACCAGCTGAAAGGAGCACAAAGCTGAAATTAGCAGAAAGAAGTTAGAAGAAGCACAACAATGTTGTAGTTAGCAGAAATAATCTGAAAGGAGCAGAAAACAATGGAAAAAACAGCTAAAATTAACTGAAAAAAGTAAAAAAAATGCACAAGGAAGCTGAAAGAAGCTGAAGCAGAACAAAATGTGAAAGGAGCACGCGGCAAAAAACGTACGGAAGAAAAATGGATCACAGTTTGAGAATGCTTCATAAACGTTCACACAGTAAGCTGCACCTTAAACATCCACAGGAACTGTCGTGAGGTCATGGTCTTCTCGCCTCTGTGGGATGTGCTGACCTGGCAAAAAGCCTCAAAGACGTCCCAGCATCTCTTCGTGTACTTCAAGGCCTCCAAAGCAAACTCTGGCTGCCTGAACAGGAAGCCTGGCTCAGGAGAGAAGCAGGTATCAAACTACATAACAGAGTTTGAAACTCCTTATTGAAAAGTCTTGGCCCTAAATGAATATTATTTAAAAAAGATCTGCGCACCTTCAACTTTTGTAGCATTTGGAAGGATATCTTCTGTTATCAGTTTGGCTACGCAGGAAGCCAGAAGATGCTTCTCTGACCTGGAAATAGAAACCAGGATGTAAACATTTACACAAACGAGCGAGGAAGAAAGAGCTCATCCAGAGGACCTGACTCAACAGTAGAGGTTTTATGCTTTACATCATATCTTTATTGTAGATGTAGAAGGCCACCATCACAAGTCTACTGAGGAACTCCCGAAGAAGCAGGGGGGTGAACGGAGAGTGGATCTCTGCTGAACTGACTTTGTCTGGAATTACAAGTAAAAACAACGAACCCCCTAACGTTTAGTTCTCATCCCTCAGTTCTGTGCATTAAAGGCAGATTTAATAAGTCGGGGAGTCTTTGACCTCTGGTGATGCGGTCGACTTGTGTCAGAGTGACGCCGTGTCGGTGGATGTTGCAGTCTGTGAGCAGGCGCCAGAACTGCAGGCGGGTCAGCATGAAGGTGTTATCAGAGGAGGGGGGGCAGCCGAGCCTGCTGTAGAACCTGTAGATGCTCCTCAGCTCCGTGTTCTCCCTCATCACCACAGCCTCCACCTGTCAGAGTCCAGCATCACATTTTTTGCTTACTTTGTTTTGTTTATTTGTTTGGATTCACATTAGCCATCACCATAAAAATGGCTACTCTTCCTGGGGTCCACATCATTAACAAAAAAAAACAACAACATTTATTACAAAGACATTTACACACACTTAATATGACATTGGTAACATAACATAATACAATCATTAATTCATAAATGTATAATTGTAACACTTTATATAATAAAACAATTTAACGGGGCTCAAGCTCTAGCAGTTGTTACGTTTAACACAGATGAAGGAAGACAGTTCCATGTTTCCATTCCTCTAAAAATAAAGTTTTTTGTCCAACTGTTGCATGGTGGGAGAGTAAAACAACCTTTTTAAAATTGTGTAGTTTGGCTTAAAAAAATAGACTATATAAAACATTTGCACAATGTTTCTAAAAAAGCATAAAAGGGCAATTTTAACCTTATTTTTAACCAAAGCCCAACTTTGTGCATGCTGATAATATTTGTATATGCGGAAGACGAGCTGCTCTATTTTGGACTAGTTGTAGTTTAGTTAAGTATTTTTCTGAAGCACTGGACCAAACCATAGGACAATACTGCAAGTGACACAAGACAACTGTATTAATAATTTCAGGGATTAATTTTAATGGTATATAATGTAAATCTATTTTTATAACAACTAGTTGTCTTCCCATCACTGCAACAGTGTGTTCAGTCTGTAGACCACTCCAATCTGCTGTCCAGCAGTTTAATTTCTTCTACCTGAGTAATGACTGTTCCATTTATAGACAGGTTTAGTTTTGGCTGAGTTTGTATTTTCCAATTTGATCCAAACATTATGCTTTTGGTTTTAGAGAAGTTTAGAACCAATTTATTTGTATGCAGCCACTTGCTTAAATTTGCTGGCCAAGGTGCTGGACAGTGTCTCAACAGATGAACCTGACATATATATTGTGGTATCATCAGCAAAGATCACTGCTCTGGCATGCTGCAGGACAAAAGTCAGGCCATTGGTGAAAATTGAAAACAGCAAATGTCCTAAACAGCTGCCCTGTGGAACTCCACATTATATTTTTTAATAGATGAGAAACTGCCATTAAAAAATACACATTTCTCTCGTTGAGAAAGATAGCTAGCAAACCATCCTACAGTATGCAATAAAAATGTATAATGCCTGAGTTTATCTAATAATAAATCATGATCTAATAGGTCAAAAGCAGAACTAAAGTCTAATAGAAAAGCTCCAACTAATTTATTTTTGTCAAAGGAGTTTAAACAGTCATCAGTCATCTGATCCCCTCACAGAGTGGAGTCTGGGCTTAGCAGCTGACCTGTTTTCGCTCAGCTTCACGCTTTCTCTCCGGGATCTTCTCCAGAACATGATCGATGCTGAGAGCCATGTCAGGCCCGAGTACAGAGGAGTCGCTCTCCAACGCGTGGAAAACTCCTGCGATGACACACAAATGTACTTTTCTTTTAAATAGGCCTTCAAGTTGAGAAGTATTATTATTATTTTACCATAAGATGTCGGTGTTCTGGTTCCATCTAAACCAGGTATCGTCAGTCGATCGTCTACAAGCTCCCCTTTAAAGACTCGCCCATCAGTGGCCGTGATTTTACCCTAAGCAATACAGAATGCACATTTTGAATAAAGGGTGTTATTCTTCTCAGTGTGTGTAAATAGTCATGCAGAAAAAAGCTGGATATCATTTTTGTCCTGTTTCTGTGCTCATTTAAACCTGTTCTTTCTGCTTTCTTCTGCTAACTTAGGCTTGTTCTTCCATTTTAGCTAAAATTCAACACATTTTGAGCCAATTTCAGCTGTTTTTCATCAAGTTCTTCAGCAATCATTTTTAAAATATCTTTTTCTTCTATTTAGTTTTTCAATTTATATGCCTTCTTTTATAATTGTCTACTGTTGTCATTCTTTGTTAAAATCAGGCCTGTCTTGTAAATGAGTCCTCGAGGTTCAATGAGACTAACCTGTATAAATAAAGGTTGAATGAATACTCATCAGCCAGAGATATGCTCTGGGTCTGCCTAACCAAAACCCAGGGCCCCAGCCCAGACTTCATGGAGTCTGTCATTCCTGTCCATGTAGGCTCATCAATTGCATCTTATTTCTAGAAACTTCCCTTTCATATTGGTGGTGATAAGACCTCACATGCATCTCATATCCTTACACCATCCTCATATTCTTGTAACAAAAACACGCTCTACCTTGGCCTAAGAAGGTTACTTCAGAAATGGTAATGTCCGCTTGCCTCACCTGTCCATGTTTTTTATTGTTTTTCCATCCTCCTTCGTAGATGGCACCACCTGCATAGTAAAAGGTTCCTTCTCCATGCCTCTGACCCTCGATGAAATCCCCCTTGTACTGGTTGCTCTGGAAGTACTGGGAGATATCTGCTCGCTTTAAGATCCAGATGTGCCTGCCAAGACCATGCTGGCAAAAAAAAAAGACAAGAAAAATCCAGTTTAAGTGAATAATTATGTCTAAAATGACTGCTTCTTAAAAAAATAACAGTGGAGTATTTTCATACCTGGACTCCATGTTCCCATTTCCCTTCATACTGCTGTCCCAGTTTCACCCAACTCATGGTTCCCTCTCCATGCCTCATGTTGTTCTTCCACTCACCAGAGTAAGTGTTACCGGAGGGGTAGCTGATCAGAAACAGACATTATCTCTGCGATTAAACTCATGAATTAAACAAATTCGACATCCATACCGTCTTACTCCTGATCCCTGTCTGTCGTCCATCACCCAGTCTCCTTTGTACCAAGACGTCTTGTCCTCGTTATAATACACTGCACCCTAAAGTGATGAGACTTATTTAAAAATATATTCAGAAAGAGCAGCTATATGATAAAGATGAGTGAATCGTACTTCTCCATGCCGCTTGCCCTGGTACCACTGCCCTACGTAAGACGCACCATGTTTGGCACATCGGTAGGACCCCCTCCCGTGTCGTTTACCACGGTAGACTTCCCCCGTATAGGTGCTGCCGTCTGGCCACGTGTAGGTGCCCTGGCCTGTTGGCATATTATGAACAAACTCTCCCTGTTGGAGGAAAGACTAAATCACCTCTACATTTATGATGGGACATTCTTTTGAGATGTGAAATTAGAAAACGTAATAACTAGGGATGCACTGATCCAATAATAATAACTACACATGTATGAGGTCAAATTAATTCATTGGAGCGCCTGAACCAAGAGTGTCAACATGAAGCCAGAGTCGTTGTCCTATAATCAAGGGCCAGTCTCATCACTAAATACTGTTTATAGCTTGACCTTGGTTTTCAGATACATCAAATTATTCATACAAATATAAAATATTTATCCAACAAGACAAATTATATTTAGTTATTGACCTTTATTTAATCAGGCAAGTCCCACTGAGATCACAGATCTCTTTTGAAAGGGAGGCCTGGCCCTGAAGGCAGCCTGACATCTGTTTTTGGATATAACGTTTATTAAAATGAACATAGTTTGTTAATTAAAAAAAAAAAAAATACAAGATTATATTTTTAAAAAGAGACATCAGTGGTGTCCATTTGACAGTGGTTCTTCATTTATTATTTCTTAAGAATGCATTTTAACACAACCCATCAAATCAGCTCAAAACTCCACTGAAAATAAATGCAAACATTGAGCTAACAGCTCTAAAGTGGTTTAAATCGTATTTATCTGATGAATTCCAATTTGTAAATATAAATAATGAATCTTCTTCATACACCAAAGTTAGTCATGGAGTTCCTCAGGGCTCAGTGTTTGCACCAATACTCTTTACTTTATGCTTCCATAAGGTAAAGTTATTAAACAGCATGGGATAAATTTTCATTTTTATGCTGATGACACACAATTATATTTGTCCATGAAACCCAATGAATCCAATCAGTTACTTAAGTTACAATTGTGTCTTAAAGACATAAAAACTTGGATGACCCCTAATTTTCTGCTTTTAAACTCAGACAAGACTAAGGTTTTGAGTTTTGGACCTGAGCATTTTAGGAATGGATTTTTCAGTCTTTCACCCTCCTTGAATGACATTAATCTGTCCTCCAGCTGTAATGTTAAATCTTGGAGTTTTTTTTATCAGGACATGTCTTTTATCCCCCACATAGAACTGCCTTCTTCCACCTGCGTGATATCACTAAAATTAGAAACATCTTTTCTAGAAATGATGCAGAAAAACTGGTTCATGCATTTGTCACGTCTAGACTGGACTATTGTAATGGTTTATTATCTGGGTGTCCAAATACTTCTTTAAAACGTCTTCAGTTAATCCCTAGGATAGTAATATCCTACTAGAATAAAAAAGAAAATGTATTAATACCTAAAACAAACTATTTGTTAGGTGGATGCACATCAACTCTAACCAGATGACATTTGATCCCTTTGTCCCTTTTGGACAAACTCAGCTGTGTCAAAATCAAACTCAAACCAGTCAAGAAATTTAAACTTCATGTTCTTGCCTTCAAAGTTGGTTAGCAGTGTCAGGTTTGCGTGAACAGTTTAAAAGCAACAGATCTGTCCACAGGTGAGCGGGCCACACACACACACATTTAAAATATGATCTTGTGGGCCACATAACTTTGTATCAAGGGCCCAGATGTGGCATTAGTTGGACACTTCACCTCATATTTGAGTCCATTTTCCAGTGTGAGGATCCCGAGTCCATTCATAAGTCCATTAGACAACATTCCCTTCCAACAGAAGAAGTCAGTTTCAGTAAACACAACATTTAGGAACATTTTTATTGTTGTAAACAATAGGTGATTGGTCCAAACTGGCTGCACCTTGTACATGTGTCCGTCTTCAAAAGAAGCAACACCTTCTCCATCAAGCTGCCCACCCACGTGTCTTATCAGAATCAGAACAAAAGATAAAATAAATAAATAAAATCGTCCTTACAAAGATGCATTTAACTACATCAAAGTCATCATAGCTTATTATTGTGACCAGTTGAAGCTACCTTATTTTCAGACAAACGAGTTCGGGGAGATCATAGATGTTTCCACCGCGCTGCTCATCACCCTCAGCTCCGTCTTCTTCTAATGATTCCCGCGCGTTTTTGTTTGTTGCCACAAGTTTCGCTAATTTCATCGTTTCATCTTTTTCCGCGGTCTCTTGCATCTTAAGTTCGCGTTTTTTGTTACACTTTTCCGCGCTGCATGTCACCGTAGACCTGTACTTTTTCCTCCTCTCACTCTGTTTATATCTCAAATCTCCATGGCAACGGTGAATATCACACACTACGGCAACTTCATTGGGTCAAAAAGTACATTACAGGACAGGGGTCCGTGCAGGTGCCAGGTAACCATGCAGGCACAACAAGGCGTTCTTTATTTACTTCATTTGCACGCTATTACATTTCTTCAAATTATTAACAGATAAAAGTAATTCGTTATTTTTGGTAAAGGTTTTAATAATTAAACTTAAGGAGATAACGAGTTGTCAAAGTTGTCTCAGCCCAAACATTGAAAAATAATGAAGCGAAAACAGCAAAAAAATTAAGTTTCTTTTGTACATGGGCTATTTTTGTTAAACGATTTTATCTTTAAAAACATACATTTTATTTTATTTTTTTTTTAAATAAGATTTTTAATTTTTATTAAAAATATGTGGTTGTAAAATAATGCAATAAACGTTATACAGCTACTGCAATTATTAAATATATATATATATATATTTATACATTTTATCTTTGAATTTGCACATTCACTGATGGTTCTTCAATGAATTACATACACTGTAAATCATTTGCTGATATTATTTAAAATAAACCCACCAAACTGTATTTTAGTTTTTTTTACATTGTTTTCCTAACCTATTATTCTTTAAATAAACCATTTTGTGAAAATCAAAACAAATGTATTTTATTAGCATAGACAGCATACACTGTATATTGTTTTTTTACATATTTATTAGAAATAAAAAAAATGCATGTATGCAAAACTGTAATAAAATCGGCCTGTATCAAACAGTATATCAAATACAGTGACTGACTTTCTTGTAAGTGATACAAATGTCACTCAAATGATTTCTAATGTAAATTAAACTGAGGACACATTCCAGTCGCATCAAGCCGGTCGGTGTGAGTCAGGTTCGTCCTTGTCCAGCATCAGTTTTGTGATATCATGTCCAGGTTGACCAGGTGTCTCATAGTAGGTCTGCCGTGGGGACAGTTCCACGGGTGTTCGATCTCCCCCATGTGAACCACAAGCTTCTTCATCTCACTGACACTCAGCGCGGTGCCAACCATCACCTGAAGGCGCACACCAGCAGAAACAAACAAAATCAAAACTTTTTCATGAAGAAACCTGAGAAAAACACAGAAGTGCAATTTAGTTCAAGTAAAAAAATTTGGATTTTCCATTGTGATGTCATTTAACTTAACGTTACCACAAAAACCTGTGGTTTTCTAATTATAATTTCTATTATGCAAGCGAGTTTTTACCAATTCCAGTGAAATGTTAAAATCTATTAAAAGTCTGTTTGATTAGATAAACACATGAATATTTTTTTTAAATATCACTATTTCAAATTTAAATTTAATTGACAGAAAACAAACACGACAAAACTTGTTAAGCTGAAGTGCTCACAGAATTTACAGTTACTTTTAATGCACAAAGAATTAATGGGGAAAAATATCTAAACTTTTAAACAATGACAAGTTTTCAACAATGAGTGATTAAAAAACTGCTCAAATACTCAATATGGAGTACTGACAAACTCATCAAATACTTGTCATACTCCAAATATAAAGAGTGAACGCTTTAGAGTGACCTTGAACTTGCTGAGGGTTTTCTCCCACAGACAAAAACATCCATGTGAGTTTTATTAGTAACTCTGAATCACGTGTCAAACTCAAGGCCCGCAGGCCAAACATGGCCCTTGTAAACATCTTATCTGGCCCCCAAGATGATATTTTAAATGCAACATTTTATTGCCTCTAATTTTGCCTAAAACACAGAGCATACTTTGTTTACTGCAGATTTCTCATGACTGCTTGCCAACTAGCAACCAAATGGCGGCCACGGGAGCGTTCACAGGAGGACTTTAACAAGAATTTAACAAGATTAACACTTAAAAACAATTATTAGTTTGCTCAACTTTATAGCAAAGGTGAGTCTCAGTTTAACGTTTCCTTAATAAAAGGACCTTAACATTCAAATCAGCTGCATTTGAAAAGTATTCGCTGCCTCGGTGCTCCGGGAGCACGCAGAGGGAGGAACGCTGCGCATTTCTTCAAAATTTAACACGATAAGCACCTAAAACAATTATTTGTTTGCTCAACGTTATAGTAAAGGTGAGTCTCAGTTGAAGTTTTACTTAATAAACACACTTCAATGGTTAAATCAGCTGTATTTCTTCGGGGCGGTGCAGCTAAATGAAGCTGATTTGACGGTTGCTCCAGGCGAGCTGGACGAAGGTGGCAGGCTAAGGCAAGTCGATTGTGTCATTAATAAACACTTTTACCTATTACATGACACAACGGCATGCCATACTACTCAAGTGCCATCTAGTGGCTGAAAATGGTAGTGTTCAATATTTTCAGTCAGAATGAATGAAAACAGTTATCTCTCAGCCAAAAATTGGTTTATAAATATGGGAAAAAATCCATAAATACGTCACTTCAGTGTATACGTCTCAGGGCATGCCAATTATGAAAAAAAACTGCGACTTATAGGCTGAAAAATATGGTAATTGGTTGTTTGTGTCTATATGTCCCTGGGATGGACTGGAGACCTGTCCAGGATGTCCCCCGTCCCCCGCAGTGATAGACACCATTTACCTGTGATCCAAAAAGGAGAAGCGGGTTAAGAAGATGGACGGACTCACTGATTTGCGACAGGCTCTGGAGGCGAACATCTGTCTGACTCTGGAGGGGCGGCACATGACACCTGGGCTGTCAGTCAGCATGAAGATCAGCTCTTCGATGTCAGCAGGGCCGAAGGTCCAGTTCTTACTGGTGGGCAAGGAAACCAGCTTAACCCTCTCCATCACCTGAGCTGCAACATTTACCGAATGAGAACATGTGATGATGAAATCCAGAATGTTCTGGAGTGAGGATAAACAATAACGATGGTCTAAGAGTTATACCATCTTCATCAATCAGAAACTCAAAGCCGTTCTTTTGGAAAATCTCCATGTTTTCCATCAGTGTGTTCTCGCTGACTGCAGTGAGGTGGAGTTTCTTTGGGCTGTGGACAGAAGAAAACACAGACAGATCAGAGCAGCAGGACACTGTGCACAGTCCAACGTGTGGTTCAAGCAACAGATTCATACGCAATAAGTTTCTGTCCCTGGAGCGCAGTGTGCTGCTGCAGCATCTCAAAGTTGAACTTCTCATCTGTGGCATGCTGGTCAATGATGAAGATGTCCCAGTTCGATTTGGTAATGATGAAGCCCAAGTTAAACTGACCGATGATCTCCATTTCTTTAAACATTTCTTTGCTGCAGAGATGAAAATTAACTCCAAGATTTCCACTCAAATACAAGCGAGCACAATCAGCCTACAGGAGTCATTCTCACCTGATCTCTTTCTTGAGCTCGTCCTCTGCACTTTGGTTTTCTCCGGGGCTGATCTTGGCCCTGAAGCGTCTGTATTGCAGCTCCTCACTGGACCTCCGTTTCTGCTGCTCCTGCAGCTTCCTCAGGTTCGCTGACAGCTCCTTCAGGGAGAGCCGTACCTGCCTCGTCCTCCTCTGCAGGCGGACAAGGACGTCCACCACCGGGGAAGAGGTATCAACGTTTGAAGAAGCGTCAGACGTTTGTTCTGCAGTGACACGCAGGTCCTCTGTCCTGGCTCTTTTGGCCTCGGGGCTTAGTGTGGAGTCCTCAGCAGCTTCAGTCTGAAGTTCTGGATCCTCAGGAGCACGACGACGACTATACGCTGCTGAAACAAGCGACTCCTCTTCTACAGAGTTACGCTCTGGGTCAGAATGGTGCACATCTGGTGCTGATGCTGTGAAGTCATGACTGGACACAGCACCGTCTCCTTTAGAGTCCTTCTCGCACCCTGCATACCTAAACCCATCCAGCACGGACCTTCCAGCTGGCAAGAAATTAGATTTATCTCGTGCGGGTTTTAAAGGAGTCTTCATGCTTTGGCTGCAAGCAGGTTTTGCAGAATCCTTGAAGAAACACTGCAGTGTTTTCTGGGTTGGGCCACAGCTGGGAGTCTTCTCCTTGCCCGACTTGTTCCCAGAACTGGTGCTGGTGTGGTTTGAAAAAGCAGCTTTGAGGGCGGCCAGGTTCAAGGATGACTTTGGGCTCTGGCTCGCTGTTTGAGCCTCCTCTGCAGGTTCTGCCTTGTTCTCTTTAGAGAAGATGACTTCTTCAGACGCAGACGATGCAACTAGAGATAAACAGAACAACAAACAGTCAAAAGAAAAGTGATGAAATTAAAAGAAGAATGAGAATTATGTACCATATTTTTCAGACTATAAGGCACATTAAGTGAAACAAAACGGTCAGATAAGTCAAACTTTATTCGACTCATTCATAATAACCACATAAAATCGGTTTGAGGTCAGTAAGCACTGGATTCTAAGGCTCACTGTTGATTTTTGAGAAAATTAAAGGATTTTAAGTGCGCCTTATAGTCAGAAAAATACGGCAGGCATTTGTTCTTACTGGATGTGCAGTTCAGGCTGATTTTATTGACTCCAGCTTCATACATGGAGATGAGGGAGGTCTTTAAAATAGCCAGCAGGAGCTTCTCCTCTTGGAGGAAAACCTGCCGTTTGTCTGGAGTTACATTCACATCCACACACTCTGAAAATGTAACACAAAAACACCGAAACTGTAAAAACAAACTCAGTTTTATTAGAAGTAACTGATTTAATTAAGAGCTATTTTCTCACCTGAGGCAACAACTATGTTTAAGGCAACAAACGGATACTGGTGCCTGTTGTACACGTGATAAACTTCATTCACAAGTTTGGTGACCTGCAAGAAAGGAGTCAGAATAGTCAGGTAGAGCATACGAAACACCACAGACCTACATTCAGTCAATTTGAATCACCTTTAGGGGGTCACAAGGCCTGTTGTTGATGAAGTAGAACTGCCTGTCTGTGGCACTTCGTCCGACTCCGTGGTCACCCCTCGACACAAACCCTGTGATTCTGGCAATACAGGTTTATATTTAAAGAAAAAAAAAAGCTTTCAAATAGAACTGGATGAAATAGTGCCACTCACGAAAACAGCTGTTTGGGCAGATCTGCATCCTTGAGTCCAAATTCTTCAACAATATTCTCTGTCGGAGACACTTGCTGAAAAGGTAGAAGACTCTGAAGCTGCAGAGAATCACAGAAAGTGATTATTGACATATAAAAACAAAACCGATCAAATATTCTAACAGTAAGTGGCATTCCTATTAAAAAACTAAAAACAAGCTGGAACCTGTTTTGGTCCAAATATGGCTCCAATGTTGTCTCTGACGCTTTGGCTGCCGCCGGTGCTGAGGACGGTGCTGCGCCTCCCCTGCCCATTCTGGTTGGAGCAGGTGATTCGTACTCCAGTAGAGATGATGCAGTACGCCTGCAGGACATGTACCATCTTAGAATACTCCTGAAAACACAAACAAGAAGGTGTTAGGACCTGAAGAGAAAAAGAAACTGGTAATGTTTGTATGTGTGTGGTACGAGAACTGGAATAAATTGAAGACTTATAGAGTAAAAACAATATTTCACTGCACTAATACTACTTTCTTCTTCTACTACTTTCTTCTTCTACTACTTACTACTACTACTACAGGACACAAATATGTAATTGTGATTTAAAACAGTTTTATTTGTCAACATATTCCTCTTTTATGTCCATTTAATAAAATCCATCCATCCATACAAACACATCCATCCATCATCTGTACATCCACCCATCCATCCATCCATATATACAGTGCCTTGCGAAAGTATTCGCCCCCCTTGAACTTTTCAACCTTTTGCCACATTTCAGGCTTCAAACATAAAGATATAAAATTTTAATGTTTTGTGAAGAATCAACAACAAGTGGGACACAGTTGTTAAGTGGAATGAAATTTATTGGATGTGTCAAACTTTTTTAACAAATAAAAAACTGAAAAGTGGGGCGTGCAATATTATTGGGCCCTTTGCGTTAATACTTTGTAGCGCCGTCTTTTGCTGCAGTTCCAGCTGCAAGTCTCTTGGGGTTTGTCTCCATCAGTTTTGAACATGGAGAGACTGAAATTCTTGCCCATTCTTCTTTGTAAAACAGCTCGAGCTCAGTGAGGTTGGATGGAGAGCGTTTGTGAACAGCAGTCTTCAGCTCTTTCCACAGATTCTCGATTGGATTCAGGTCTGGACTTTGACTTGTCCATTCCAACACCTGGATACATTTATTTGTGAACCATTCCATTGTAGATTTGGCTTTATGTTTTGGATCATTGTCTTGTTGGAATATAAGTCTCCGTCCCAGTCTCAGGTCTCTTGCAGACTCAAACAGGTTTTCTTCCAGAATGGTCCTGTATTTGGCCCCATTCATCTTCCCATCAATTCTGACCATCTTCCCTGTCCCTGCTGACGAAAAGCAGGCCCAAACCATGATGCTGCCACCACCATGTTTGACAGTGGAGATTGTGTGTTCAGGGTGATGAGCTGTGTTGCTTTTACTCCAAACATATCGTTTTGCATTGTGGCCAAACAGTTCGATTTTGGTTTCATGTGACCAGAGCACCTTCTTCCACATGTTTGGTGTCTCCCAGGTGCTTGTGTCAAACTTTAAACAACACTTTTTATGGATATCTTTGAGAAATGGCTTTCTTCTTGCCACTCTTCCATAAAGGCCAGATTTGTGCAGTGTACGACTGATTGTTGTCTTATGGACAGACTCTCCCACCTCAGCTGTAGATCTCTGCAGTTCATCCAGAGTGATCATGGGCCTCTTGGCTGCATCTCTGATCAGTCTTCTCCTTGTTCCAGATGAAAGTTTAGAGGGACGGCCGGGTCTTGGTAGATTTGCAGTGGTCTGATCCTCCTTCCATTTCAATATGATTGCTTGCACAGTGCTCCTTGGGATGTTTAAAGCTTGGGAAATCTTTCTGTATCCAAATCCAGCTTTAAACTTCTCCACAACAGTATCTCGGACCTGCCTGGTGTGTTCCTTGGTCTTCATGATGCTCTCTGCGCTTTGAACAGCATTGGATCATTCATAGATCCTCACTGAACTTCTGGAGTGAGTTTGCTGCACTGAAAGTAAAGGGGCCCAATAATATTGCACGCCCCACTTTTCAGTTTTTTATTTGTTAAAAAAGTTTGACACATCCAATAAATTTCATTCCACTTCATGATTGTGCCCCACTTGTTGTTGATTCTTCACAAAACATTAAAATTTTATATCTTTATGTTTGAAGCCTGAAATGTGGCAAAAGGTTGAAAAGTTCAAGGGGCCGAATACTTTCGCAAGGCACTGTACATACAGTACATCATCCATCCATCATCTGTCCATCCATGCATCCATCCATTCCATCAACCATCCATCCATCATCCATTTATCCATCCACCCATTCCATCAATCCATCCATCATTCATCCATCCATCCATCCATGGAGAGAACATGCAAACTCCACCCAGAAAGGTTCCCGGCTAGGATTTGATCCAGCAACCTTCTTTCAGAAATGCAACAGCTCTACCAACAGGGCCACCGTGCCGCCCCGTTTAATAAAATACTTTTGAAAACCTGTTTTGATGGTAAAAGGCCCCAAAATTGAACAGTGTAGTGAACCAGATGACCTCAAATCTACCAGATGGACAGAGACTGTTATTTTCATTGATCTGAATAAGTCTGGGCCATCTGATGACTTTCTTTCTTGAATTAATCAAGCAGAAAAGACAATTCTTTATAATCATTACTGTCTTACAAATGTTTTGATAATCAAATTGTGTTAGTTCACTCAATGCTTATAGGTTGAAAAGAACTACTCATCTTTATTTTACATAAACAGTAAGTAATGATTTTTATTCCTCATTCCAAGAAGAAATCACCTGAATAAGCATTCCTTGATTTTCTGTCTGAAATGAGTCAAGTCGTAAGTATGTGAAAGGTTGGTTTTCGGTCAACTAAAATGTTTACCGAGAAAAATGTCATGTTTAAACTTTTTCAGAAGATTACCAAGAGTTGACTCCACGAAGTCTGCTGTTGCTGCAATAATCTTTTCTGTATGTGAAAACAAATTTCATTCTCTGACCTCGACTGTTGATAAACACCTTACGTCAAAACCACTCCTCTTTCTGGTCCTTCCACGAATCAGAAAGCTCTAAATTGAACAGGAAGTCGACCCAAATAAAATGTGGCAACTTCTCAGTTCATGTTAGTTGGAGATGGAGATTGAGAGTGATATGGAGTTCCAAGATTGAGAGTGCAGTCGGTTCTGAAAGCTTCAGAGCAATGAAGAATCCAGAGGTTTTTGGGGATTATAATTCTGTTTTGAGCTAACCACGCACGACTCTCTGAAGGTTTGGTAGCTCTCGACGGAGACGCTGAAACGAGTCAGAAAGGAACTACTCCAAGGCTGATTCATCATCAACAGGTAGATGGTTCTATTTTGACCAAGTGTACCGTGAGAAGCTGAGATCGGACGGAGCGTGCAACTTCTGGTCAAACAGATTAAATTCCCTCACATATTTCCTCTGTAAGATAAATCTCAATTTAATCTTAAACTCTTCTCTCTCATAAATCAGTACAGATATTTTTAGAAATGTCTGAAGCAAAGTCCTCAAATCACCGCCGAGTGATTTGAAGTTCATTTTCTGTGAAACTGTCTGTTATTATTTTCATATTTTGCCAAATTAATGTAAATGTTTGATGTTAAACTTTGATTTTGAAAATAAATGATTCCATTCATTTGATGGGTCAAAGGTAATAACGTCTCTCGTTCGCATTCCTTTAAATTCAATGCACGACATTACACAGTCAGAAAAATGAAGAACTCGTGAATATTGTATGCATATATAATTCATATATTTGTCATACAACAAGTGACACGTATCTCACGTGACTCACTACAACAGATTCACAAAATATATATAAAACAAAGCCAAAACTAACACAACGACAGCAACGCATTGAGAAGTATGGGGGCGTGAGTGTGATGATATGGCTGTGCATGAGTTCAACATGAATAAGCACTTGTGCTTTTTATAGATGATAAGAAACAAGTGAAGATGTAATGTGTTCATTGTAATTTTTGTTATCCTTGTTTGTGTGGCCCTGCACAGATGTACTCCGTAGCAGTGCCAAACTGCTGCTATAAATCTGCCAAACATTTTTATCTTTAATACTCATTAATGTATTTTCTCTAAGTATACAGAATAGGTACGGCAGGATGTTGGATATTTTTTTAGCTCAGAGACACAAAATAATTTTATATACACATCAAAAGAACATTACATATCTTTTAACTTTGTGTATTTTGATAATATTGTCCAACTAAGGATTAGACTCAGAAAACAAATAGCTTTCCAAATGTATTCCTTCACTAGACAACACAAGAAACCTACCTTAGCTTACACATTAAATATACGTTAACAATAGTGCTACTAATTAACTATATTGCATTTTCATGTATACGTTTATATCTTTCCTTTTAGGTCTTTTAATCACTAGTAATACTGTGTAATAAAATCATATGTCTAAAAACTTGTACATTAAGTGCATGATTGAATATTACTTGTATTTTAATATGCAAACACGTTCCTGTAAAATAGACAAACAAACTGTGCTTATTTGGTGCTAAGAAAGAAGAAAACATGGGTAAAGTCTGGCAATAATGGTTTCCCGTTATTTGAAGTCTAAAGATTTTATGTCAGACTTTGAGAAGCACATAATCACGTGTATCCTTTCATGTCTGACCTTCTTAATATTGCGCTGGAACTCCTTGTGTCTAACGGGCAACGTGTAGAAGAGCTGCTGCAGGGTGACTGTGGTGCCCTGCTGCCTAGGATGAGGGGACTTGTGCACGAGGTGGCCTTTTTGGTTAAACGCCAGCTTGGTGCCCACCTGACTCGACTCGTGGCATGTAATCACACTCAGGTCACTGCAAACAGAACAATGTTCAGCTGATAAAAGATCAGATAATGCAGACTAATGTACAGAATAAAGGTGGTAAGTGGCATGTTTACCTCAAAGCACATAAAGAGCTGAGGGCTTCACCTCGAAAGCCAAATGTTTCCACGTGGATGAGATCGGAGAAATCCCTCAGCTTTGACGTGTGATGCTTCAGTGCTATGGAAAGGGCGGAAAAAGATGTTGAAGGGCTTAATATGCTTTTTAAAAATAAATCCTAAAATGCATGAGCGGCCACAGAAAAGAGGCAAAAAAAAATATCTGGAAATGTGTTCATATTTCCATGTACCAGTTAAAAGACATGCAGCAGGGTTTGTACCCTCTGTAGTTAAGCAACAGAAGAAGCACTGACCCCTGTATTAAGTGCTTAAAATCAGAGTCCACTTTGACTCCTAGATCTGTGTTGATTGGCTTGGTATATGAAACCTAAATCCACAACCATCACATTATCATTTTATCACTGAAGAAAAAAAGTCCACCTCATCCAGTCTATTAGGCATTTGAGAAGCGACTTTACAAAAAAATACGGTAGTTATTTTCCTAAAGGGGACATAAATCTGACTCAAGTAGGAGCAAATATAGTTAACAAGACGAGCCCATGTACAGAGACAGTTACAAAAAAAGACACTTTAACACATAAAATACAAAGATAAGACTTACTGAGTCCTTCAAAGTTAGCCTCTTCAACACCTTTGCCATTGTCGGACACTTCTATTTGTTCAACGCCGCACTCCTTCAGCTTGACATCTGGAGCAACAAAAGTGGGATGTTAAACAAAAAAGACAAGCAATCATATACAGTTCTGTTATATTTTTAGGTTTAGGAATAATTACAAAAAATAAAGTCTGGGTGGACTTCAACGGCTAGCAGATTTCCGAACCAAATATCACTTGTTGTTATTTTGAGACAACTCAAACTGGGAATTTACTGCATGCCAAATATAATCTAGGTATCTGCTTACCAATGCTGCTGGCTCCAGCATCAATGCTGTTCTCCACCAGCTCTTTGACTGCAGTAGCCAAAGTCAGAACCACTTGTCCTGAGCAGATCTGATGCACAGAGTGCTTGTCTATAGCCCTGATGGCTCCAGCTGGTTCGGATGTGCTGAGAAAAACATGCAGAATACTCAGTGATGCTGATAAAACTTTGTCTTCTGGTCAAGTTCTGTTGTTGCAGGTTTAAACATGTACTTTTAGCTGGTAATACAATCACATCATGCTTTTCAATCGTGTCTAAAGTTTCATATTCAGTGAGATGTCAGTCCTACTTTAGTCTCTTAGTTTAAGTAAACACAAATGCTAATATTTCAATGATATTGGGTTCATGCATGACACGTTTATGTTGAATATTGCACATTTTCTTGGTCCAAAACCACCAAATATGATCAAATATCTTACCAAATATCAGACATCTTCTAAGGACATCCAGTGGAAACACAAACTCGCTGACTGTCTGTTTCAATATCCAACACCATCAAACGGAGCTAGTTTGTTTACACCGACTACAACTCCCGCTTCTCGACGTACTTCGCGAGCGTTACATATGCGCACAAACTGCGCAGCTTACACACAGGCTTGCGCGTATAAAAGTTAAACCTAAATCTAAAAAAATACTATATAAAAACATAAAGACCGCTAAAATAAACAAACAAGTGATACTACATGCCGTATCAAAAAGTGTTGCCAAATCTGGGCAAACTTTCATCATCGCCAAACACACCGGAAGTCGTGTTGTTAGGGACTACGTGTAAATGTTTAATATTGTGAAAAGACGATCATAAATCTGTCGCTTTTGAATCATTATTGACAAAGTAAAGGTTTAAATTTGCATAAATGTTTTTTTTAAACACTGCTTTTATATTTTTTCTCTAGTTTTGTAGAAAATGACTTTTTAAAATATCGGTTTTCTTTTCGTTGTAGTCCACACATTGCACGACGGTCCCTTGTGCCCCGGCCGCTTATGGCTGGCTGGTCATGGTTAGAAAGAGGTTCATGTCTTGTCAAGTTCTCATCATGTAAATGTTTAAAAGCCAGGATTTCAACGTCTCGACAGACGCAATTTACAGCAGACGTAGGTTTTTTTTGTTGTAAATGTCGTGTTTTAAAATAGTTGTTGTGTTAAGTCAGAATGTACAGCTCGAATTGTGACAGCAGTATCGTGTACTCGGAGGAATGTTCTGGCAGCAGCAACATGTTGGTTCGCCGCAGTCTTACAGCTGGCAGGAGGCAGGAAGAGAGCAGCCTGCCGAGCTTAGCAAGCGAAGAGGACGAAGAAGTCCAGTATGACAGTAAGCAGCGTGTTTTGTTTTATTGTCAACTTTAGTTTTATATTTGTCGACCCTTTAGTGTTTGTCCTACATTTTACACAAGCCTTGAACTACAAAACTGCTAGCAAGACTTGTTTCAAGATCTCGCGAGATTTACTCGCAGCTTTACGAGATTAGCTCGAATCTTAAAAAAACTGGATCTGCTCAAAGCTTTAATTTTTTAATTATCATAATTTTGAACTTTTAACTTCTTATAAAACTGTTTCAGTCAGTGACAACTGAACATGTTTGGTCTGTTGTATTAGTCTGTGAATAATAAAGTGATAATTGTGTTTATGACTGCATTTCAGAAAAATACAGTATATTTAATATTTTAAATGCTGTAGTATATTTAATAAAGCCAGTTTAATTAAACCGTCTGACCAGATGAGGATGGTGCATAAATAATGTTGTCTGCCTAATATGAAAAACAATTATAGTTTTTATTTATTATTATTATTTTTGTTATTTTGGTTTAAGTTTCTTTGTCATTCACATCACATATGGTACAAAAGGTGGAATGAAATTGTGTAATTGAGGTCCCAGTTCCATTCAAAAATAGCAATACTGTGAAATAAACTAGAAGGATCTAAGCTACAGTATACGCTAAACAATAATAATATAATATGGTGTATTAAACAGCAGCCTGAACATGAGTCTGTTGTGAGCAGACGGATATGAATATAGCAGCTTATGGGTAAGAAATATAAATAAATATAAAAATAAATATATGTAATAAAACCATTCAAATTAAACCGTCTGACCAGATGAGAACGAAGCATAAATAATCTTGTCAGACTGATATGAAAAACAATTACAGTTTTTATTTATTATTATTATTATTGTTATTTTGTATTTTATCATTAAATTCGATAAGGATAAAAAAAAAAAGATAAAATGATAAGGATATAAAAACGGTGCTGTTTTAAATGTTTTATCCTTGTATCTTTAAGAGTATTTTATTAATAACACTCTTTTTTTTTTCAATTTTGCCCATTTTGTTTATTATTCTTGAAAGAAACTTTGTCAACTACTTTTATCTCATTTAAACGTGCTATGTTTTTTTATTTATTTTTAATTTAGCATCAGTTTAAATTATGAGATAAATAACAATAAACATATTAAATTGTATATTACTGGTATTTTTCCTTCAACTGTTCACTGAGAAACAGCTCCGCTGAAAACCTCTGTACTTAATTAAACTAACATTGAATCGCAATAGTTTTATCTCATGCGTGCTGAGATAAAGTTTATTTTTAACTTTGCCATTGTGTCCCTTGTATGTTGCCATTTAAAAATGTGTTTTAAAGGAGATCTTGTGTCAAATGTGGTGACAAAAACAAATGTTTGGGCTATTTTCAACAACAACTTGTAAGATAGTTATCAATCCTAATATAAATGTGCTTCATGTCTAAACGTCCCTGTAGACGCCCTAAAATATGAGGGTATGCAATCAAAGAAATAAAAACGTATAAAGGTTCCCGTGTGGGCACAGTGAGCCACGTCTTCTCAGCTCTGTCGTGTGTGTTAGGTGGAGGGGAGAGGGCTGGTCTCCACTGGACCCAGCAGATAAGAGCTGCTTCTGTGCACCCTCCCTTATGTACAAACAAGATGAGCTCATTTCATGCACTGCAGCTGAAGGGGATAATTGTTAGTTTAGCTTGAGCTGTGCTGCATCAGAAGGTTTTTTTTTTTTTTAATATATAGAGATATGGACGTAGGAGAAAGGAGCATAGTTGACATGATAGCGAAGGTTATTGAAGAAGGTAAGCTGTTAAACGTGAAACATTCTGGTTTGCTGCTGCATTTGGTTTCAATTTAAATGTGCTAATTTTAGATTATTCTGCCTTCTTTTTCTTCGAACTTTAAGCTTCTGATACAGAAAATAACCACGAGGTGCTGATGGCTGGTAGACGGTACCCGTCCGTCCAAGAGTTTGCCTCAGCGATCCCTAACCACCTCCTCCTCGGGTCGCTGCTCGAGCACCTGTGCTCCGTGTACGAGAGCAATCCTGCACGCTCGCGCACGCTCTTTAAAGGTACGTGACTCCGACGCTTTCTTAAATCATAAGCGCACCACGTCTCAAATGGATGTTATTTTCTCCTCCCCCGACAGTAATAGGCCAGCGTTTAGCAGCCATGAATCTTCTCTCGCCGTTGGCCATAAGTGATGAATTTAGCACCGTCAGACTCCAGCACAACCGGGCCTTCACTGAGCTGCTCAATGCTGCGAGCTCCTCGCTCTATCCACAGGTAAGTTCACAGCTCGTTGCTGTATGCACGTGATGTTTGACGCGGATTTGTGCTTTATAAATTAAATAGTCCAGTTTCTTTCTTGCTATGTTCAAAGCCTCTTTATTTTCCACAGGGTCCTGGTACAAATGCACACAATGCTGCTTTAAGGTAGACCATTTTTAGAGTTTTTTAATGCGTCACTTTCGTAGCGTTTTAATTAGACTGTAAGAAGCTGATGTGCTTCTCCACAGACCCAAGGAGGGGCTGTTTCAAGCACAGGCGTCACGGTATCTTAGTGAGTTTGAAGAAATATCCAGACTTGGGAAAGGATCATATGGCAATGTTTTTAAGGTATTTTACTCTTCTTCTTTTTTTCTTATTGCGTATACAGTAGTCCCTCATTTATCACAGGGGATTCGTACCCTGAAGCCCCAAGATACGTAAGTGAAAAACCGTGAAGTAGGATTAGTAGTACAAGTAGTAGTTTATTTTAGTGTGTGTGTGTGTATATATATATATATATATACATATATATATATATATA